ATTCACATGTTTTGAGTTGAAAGTAAGAGCCTATTTAACTTAGCTAATAGTACATAACTGATAATTGAAATGTTGAAAAATATTTTTAGATATTGGAATTAATTTATTATTATATATAAATAAACAGTTACATGTTAAAATAGAAGTGTTGAAATTGTTAATAAATAATTTATATGTTTTGTATATCCTTAAATTTATTGTAAAAAGCTATAAATTCAAATATTTTTCGTGCAAATAAAAAGAGGAACAACGATATGGAATGAAGAGGAAGCTAGGAGTTTTGTTTTAGAAAATATATATTGAGAATTTAAAAAAATATTTAAAATAAAATAATAAATATTTAATCGAACTAAAGTGCTTATAAGTTGAAAAAGTCATAAGTTGATTATAACTTACAGGGAAAAGGGTTTGAAAAATACTCCAACTTTGGCCGAAATTGTTGTTACAATACCAAACTTTATTGAGGACCTTTTATCCCCTGCACTATTTAATAGTGTATTTTAAAGGTATATATGTGCATGGACACATTACTATTTAAAATGATGCAATATTTATGATGTCCACGTATGAACATATATACCTTTAAAATACACTATTAAATAGTGCAGGGGATAAAAGGTCCTCAATAAAGTTTGGTATTGTAACAACAATTTCGGCCAAAGTTGGAGTATTCGGTCATTTCTAAAGTTTGGTATCGTAACAACAATTTTGGCCAAAGTTGAAGTATTTTTCAAACCCTTTTCCCTAACTTATAACTTATAAGTACTCTGTTGTTAACAAAACACATATATAATTAAATTTTAAAAAATTTATAAGCGAATTTAATCAGCTTATAATATCAACTTCGCACCTCATCTTAAAAGTAATTGTTTCAACTTTTAAAAGAGGTCAACAATAGTTATTGAGTTTAATTTCTACTCATTGCACTTATTTTAATGCTAAGTAATCCATGATTTGAGAAGCACGACCCCAATTAAAAGGCGGAATGGTCTGGGAGGCCCTTGTACTTGACTCTGTTTGTATTTTGGACCCTTATACTTACGACTTTGTCAACTAGACCCTTGAACTCGATGAAACACAATATATTAAGCACCTCTGATCGTTGACTGAACACATGTGGCATTAATATTGCTGACTTGGAACGATGCGTAATTCCACGCGTTTTAAAGCAAGTATGTATAAAATTAATATGAAAAAAACATTAAAATTTTAAAAAAAAAATGAAAACAACAAAAAAAAAAGACAAAAAAGGGGGGAGTCATCTTCTTCAAAGCAACCCATCGCTGCTCCTCCCCCACCCCACCCCCGCCCCAACAAAATTTCTTATACCTATTCCACTTCTTTCCTTCTTTCTTTGGATTCACCCATCATTTCCCTTGTTCTTTTTCTTAACACCCCCACATACTGTCCCACCCCTAAATATTTTCTCAAAGTTCATTCTTTTTGTTGCAAATCAATTTCCCTCCTAGTTCTTTTCATTTTGCCATGTTTGGTTTTTCAAAATTTCGATTTCATGCGTATTTTTTGGTGATAGTGGGTTTTGAAAAATGAAAAACTTCATTGATAAGCTTGATGAAGCTTCAAAAATAACAAATGGGTTTTGTGAATTTATGAAATAAATTTAAAATTGTATAGAGATTTGTTGGGTTTGTGTTTGTGAACCAATAATGTAAAATTCAAGACAAATTGGTAAGAATTCTATCCATTTAACATGAATTTGTGCCAATTTGAGAGCAAAAATGGAGAAAATAATAAAAGTTACAGGGTATGCTTTTTTTTTCCGAGATAAATAACTCAATTAAATATCCAGCATAGTCAAAATAGTAATTGTGATCAAAACTATTGCTCAAAATAGCTGTGTAGCTCATATGTCCTCTGATATTTTCCAAAATAAGCTTAGAAATTTCAAACAAGTATCCCCTACAAGAGCTATGTAAGCAAATGAAATAACGCATATTAAGTGTTGGTAGCCCTGGTGTAGATCTGCTGGCTTGGAAGATGAAGGTGGAGCTTATGCCTTCTTTGAAGCCATTGATCGGAGAACGGTGAATGGAGGAGAGCGGCGGAGTTAGAGGCAAAAATGTGATGGGGATATGGTTTTTATTTTTATTTTATTTGTCTAATCTTTAATTTCTTATGTGTCATTAAAAATGACGTGGAATCCAACGTGTAAATAAGTGTATCACACGCGCACACATAGGATGAGGAAAGGGTTTAAAATATTGTTTTTTAACGAGTTTAAGGGTTTAGTTGACAAAATCGTAAGTATAAGGGTCCAACTTACAAACATAGCCAAGTATAAGGGCTTACCAGGTCATTCCGCCCAATTAAAACTCTATCTATTTATTTTTAATGTGTCTCTGTCATGTTTGAATTGGTGCCAACATTTTTTCAAAACAATAATATTTTAACTTTTTACTAAAAGCCCATTAAAATAATTGCCAAACTTAAACCTATAGACAGTAGAACTTTCTATGATCTATACTGGTCAATCGTAGACTGGGACCATTATTTCACCTCTCTTTTGATGGAACATTTGTACGACTCATAGGTCTTCCTACAGGTCCGTATAAACCAACCGTAGAAATCAACTTTGACCCTCAAAATTTTACCAAGTCTGGGACTCACCTACGAGACCTATCTACGACTCATACATAGGATGATTGACCGTCCTGATGAATCGTAACAAGGGTATTGGACTTGATTTTAGAAAATTATTTTCCCCTTCCTACGGTTGCCATCTACGGCCCCGTAGACACAACCTTCACCCTAAAATTAATTTTGATTTTCCTTCTTTTCCAAATATGAGGTGTTAGAAAGAGGAAGACGAAGCAGGAAAAGGGGATTCCTTGGGAAACGTAGAGAGGGGTCAATTACCTGAGAGCAACTCAATTTGATATCAAATGTTGGGTTCAAGCTTGAATATATCAATCCTGAATGCTACTAGAAGTCATTTTGGAATTTATGAAGAATGGTAATTTGTTGGAGCAACTGTAATCTCCTAAGACTGCGAAGCCACAAAATGCAAGTCTTTGCAATTTGTACTGATTATGGAATATTCTATCGCGAATCTTGACAATGATGGGCCAGTTGTCTGATTTCAAGCACCATCCTATGTGTAAGAAGCTAAATATGAATCACCATCCTATTTTTGTAATGTGCTTGATGGGGAAGACCTATTACATTTTTCTGAGTAACTGATCTAATTTTTGAGAAATCAAACATCTACCTACCTAGCAGGAGGGAAGGATGATGTGAGTCAAAGACTACTGGAGTTGACGGGCTTTAAGCTAGACAAGTTTCCTGGGGCTTCTACTGTTGCCAAGGAAGTAGTTGTGATCCACGATGACTTTATAAGGGCCTATGGCCTAGACGCGGCAAATATGACTGATCCAGTTGATATTATTGGACCGAGTAAAATGTTGGACAGTTTTATTTAGCTATTGTTAAAAAGGTCTAGGGATTAGAAAGAACGGTTATGCAAATTATGTCAAAGCTCTGGCTTTCAGTTATCTCTCATCAGCTTTCTCTCTCTCTTCTAGAATCTCATCCCCTTCTATGTTATCTATCTATAATTAGTGTGTTGTTGCTCTGTTGTGACGTTGTAATTTGTATTCCGCGATAACAATATATATTTGTATTGGAAATTGGGTTTGTTTCAGAAGTGGACTAAAATAGAATGTCAACAATTATGTACAAGGAAAGATCAGATCAGTCTCAACTAGACACCTTTCCTATGCAGGCAAGCTACACATTATTAACTCAGTTTTGTTTTCTATACATAACTTTTTTGTACTTCCACAGAGTGTGATCAGGGAAGTGGATAAAAAGTGTAGAGAGAGTACAGAAATTAGCCTTAGTGGCATGGGAAAATGTTTGTAGACCAAAGAAGCAAGGTGGTTCAAACATTAAAGGCATAATACATATATTAGACCCTAAACTTGGCTTCAAATTTTAAGTTTGACCTCCAACTTTCATAGTGCACAAATAGGCACTTTAACTATCCAACCTTTTAATAGATAAACACGCGAGTCCTACCTGGCAAAATGCGTGATATGCACGAATTCTGCGCGAGTTGGGAGTTATTTTCGAGGCCCACAACGGTAAAAAAATGCTGAAATGACAATTCTACCCTTAATGAATCCCTTTTATATATATTTCTTTATATTTCCAAATCAAAATCTCATTTCTCTTTTCCTCCTCTTTCAAACCAAGTTTTTTCCTCTCTTTAAAACGATTTGTGCTCATATTTAGTGCAAATGGATTCTAATTTTTTTTGTCATTGTGGAAAAAGAGCTATAATGAAGATTTCTTGGTCTGCAAACAATCCAGGTCGTTGGTTTCTTGGATGTGAAGATGGTCGGGTATGGTTTCATTTAAAACATCTTTTTTGGTTTAAATTTTAGTTCTCAAGATTCAATTTTGATAGTGAATTTGTTCTTCTTAAACAGGTTGGATGCAAGTTTTTTAGGTGGTGTGAACTTGATTATACTGAACACGCTAGAATTGCTATTTCGGGATTACAAAAGAGGATAAAAAAACATGATGAAGAAAAGGAAAAGATTAGGAGGAAATATCGAGTTTTGTTGATCATTGTGATACTATCTTGGATTTATAGAGAGTTCTTTATGTAGTAAATGTTATGTAGATTGGTTGAAAAAGTTATGCCAGAATCGTTTTGTTCATAAAGTAGTTTTCTTTATGGGTTAGTGGCTACCGCTATCTATTGTAAGCAATCAAAATAATGGATGTGAAATGCACTATTTTAGAGTTGGCAAAAGTTTGTCTCTCAACATTAGTTTTAATATTCATCACTTTTACAACTTACAAGGACATTACTTAGCATGATTCATACACTTTCATACTAGCATGATTCACACACTTTCATACATAGTAAACACCTAACATCAAGGCAGCCTAACATCAATCATAACAAACACCAAAAGACTTCACAAAACATAACTTAATATCCATTAAACTAGGACAACTAAATACCCTCCAAAGATTTGTCTATGCAAACATACATCAAAATAACCCAAAATACATCAAAATGATTAGTAATTGCAGTATGCCTTTACAAACATTTATCAAAATAAACAAAAACAAAGACCTCCTAGATCAACATTTATACACATCATTAACACTTTAAACTCTTATGGAACCCACTTGCCCTTGGATTTGCTTTGCACCTTTTTCTTTGACAATTGTTGAAGTTGATTTCTAGTCATTGCATCTTTTCCTTTCCATTTCAAACCAGGTGGCTTGAATCCAAGATCAACATTTGTTTGTGATGCATCTTTAAATGCTATCCCTGTTCCACTTGAGATAACCCTTTCACTTGATCTTCCTGGCTACATAATTCATAGGGCATTATTTAGTATACCTAAATAAAGATGTAAGAAAATAAATTAAAGAAGGCAATATACATACGTTAATCACTTGTCTTCCAGTTTGTATGTCTGTGTAAACACCAAATCCCACATCTCTTGTTCTTTTTCTTCCAACTGAAGGAGCTGGTGGCATTCCAACTGAAGACGGTGGTGGCATTCCAACTGAAGAAGATGTTGCCCTTGCAGTTGGCTCCTACTTGCAATTGGCTCCTTTTTTTTCCTTTCTTTAACCTTTGAAGTATCTGCACATAAAGAAGAGGCATTTCTAGTGCTAGGCTGCCTCAATGGTGGTTGT